AACAGAATTTATAATCCTCTTCTGGGGAGAATTAGCATGCCTGATAATGGCTCAATTGATTATCTAATACATTTTAAAGAGATGAAGAATCATTCTGGAAATCTATTCATGGGCCCAACCAGCTGTCAATCAGCAGTCTAGTGTCCTTTAGCCACTCTCTCTCTTTCTCTCTCTCTTTCTCTCTCTCTCTCTTTCTCTTTCTCTCTCTCTCTTTCTCTCTCTCTTTCTCTCTCTCTTTCTCTCTCTCTCTCTTTCTCTTTCTCTCTCTTCCTCTTTCTTCTTTCTTTCTTTCTTTCTTTCTTTCTTTCTTTCTTTCTTTCTTTCTTTCTTTCTTTCTTTCTTCTTTGTTTTTAGACTTGACACAAGATATGTGCTCTCACCAAGAGAGACAGACAGAGACAGAGAGAGGGGAAGTGATAAAGTACCCCCCAGGGAGGATGGCCAGCTGCAATCTCTTCTCCTCCATTCTGCTCTTGAGATTCTGAGCATGCATACACATGCACCAGGTGCAAACCACCGGGTATGGGACTCGAAACTGTGGAGTGGACCAGTGGGCTCTACTGCCTTAACCACCACACTACCTGCTGGCCCTAGCTGCACTTTGTATACCTGGCATGACAACGGCGACCACTGGTTTTCCCCACAGAATACCTCTACTAAGAGTACCTCTTCAAATTAACCTGCCAGAGAAGCAATTTTTCTAGCAGGGTTATGATACAATTTGGTATGTGCTTGTGGTAAAGTCAAGTTTTCTTTAGCACTGTTCAGTGGATACTGGGGCTACTAACCCGTGTAGCAGGGTGGTGTGATACAGTAAAACCAGGTCTTAGAGCCTGGGGGTCCACGTGGAAGCCAAGCCCAGGATGCTGGGGCACAGGAGGTGAGAGGGTAGCTAGCTGTTTGATGGTGTGAGGCTGAGAAGATGGCAGCTTTGAGAGTGCTGGGACAGAGGCCCAGAGAGCCCAGCCTGCCTGCACAGACAGGGAAAGGTTGAAGCAGACTCAGGAACTGCTTGGAGCGCAGTGGGGTTCAGAGATACTGCTAATCTTCGGGCTGGAGACTGGGAGAACAGCTATGTGGTAAGCAGACCAGGGAAGCAAGGAGAAGGGACTAGTTTGGGGAAGTTATGGGTTTGGTTTGGGTCTTACTCATTGATTTCCTGGAGAAATGTATTTGGAGGCGATATCTGGGGCCCAGAATTCTGGCAGCAAAGAGAAGGAGAGTTGATTCTGGGCCAGCTGCACACACCCCCGTGCTGCCCGGAGGCTTACCTTGCTGGGGTTGCTTGGGGAGGGGAGCTGTGGCAAACATTTGGAGCCAGGTGTCTGTAGCAACCTGTCCTGCTTTTTCTAAGACACGTTTTCTGAGAGAAGTCTCCCTGAGGTTATGTGTAAGGGCCAGAGGCACCTCTTATCCACTTGGTGCCCCTAGAGCATAGGGCATGCTGCCCAGGGGGTGCCCCCTGGGGTGGGTGTGTCCGGTCACCTAACGCAGAAAGAGGGGGCCATGGAGCCCCGGGTGGGAGAGAAGATGGGGCTCCAGTTCCCTTTTCCAATCTGAGTGTCATTTACTTACATCTCACCTAGTAGCCCAGAGGTTAGTAATAAGCTGTAATTATAGAATAATGCAGCAGCAGCTCTGCTAAGTCAGTGTGGGAGGATCTGATGGCATTAAATTCAGAAATGATGTTGCCACCAGGGTTGATAAATTATTACAAGCAAGAGAAGACAAGCCATGGGATTCAGGAACACCAAAATGGAATTCTTACCCTGTGCGATCAGGCGGCCTTCCCTCCCACAAGTAAATAAATACAGACAGTGCTGGCTCTAGTGCTAAAGGCTGGGAGAAAACTCTGCTAGCAAGACAGGTAGGATGAATAAACACCGGAACAATCTGAATATCTTCATGATTAATGGACTACAATTCCTTTTTTCTTTTTCTTAGGTATTTGAAGAATAAAGGTTGCATATATGAGGGGACATACAAACGTTTGTGAAAAAATAGAATTAAAGTACAAGTTTATTTCATTCCCCCCTCCCCCGCAAAGAAAAAGAAATCTACGGCCAGTAGGTGGCATGGAGGTTAAGGCTGCTGGACCCCACATGGCTGACTGCACAGTTTGAGTCTTGAACCCAGCTACTTGAAAACATGCCAGGTGCATGTGTGTGCGTGCTCAAAATCTCCTGAGAGGAGGATGGAGGAGAGGGGATTGTGGCATGTCCACCCCACCAGGGGGTGACTTCTCACTGTCCCTCTGTCTTTGTCTCTCTCTGGCAAGTACACGTGCCACCCAGCAAAACTTCAAAAAAATTTACTGAAATCCATGCATGGTGTTTTTACAGTATGCATTTTCCATGAACTTTTAAAGGCCCTTGTACTGGGAAGAGGTGACTTCTGTCTGTTCACTCTAACTGACTACTCCTAAAAGGTTTGCAATTTGCCACCATCAGCTTCTTCCACGCTGGGTGTTTGAGAATTCACTGACATCTTACAAACAGACTAAGCTGAGCATCCCTTTGGCCCATGAGCTCTCCAGCTGGACACTCTTTGCTATTTGGAGAGGACAGAGGATGGAGCAGGCATCCCTGGGGAAGAAAGGTGGGCTTCTCCGTGAGTGGGTCAGCGTGAGCTCAAACCAGGGCAGGCCAATGCCTGCCCAGTTTCAGCTCCATTAAAGTTACCTAAAAGGACCTTTGGAAGTCCCGGTCCTGCCAGCTTTGAAAATCCTCTCCCCGTCAGAACCATCCCTTTTGTGTTGTTTCTCTCTCTGGGAACAGATATTGGATGGTAAAGGGACATTTCGACTGATTTAAGTGTTCTCAGAAAAGTGAGAGGCTGTTCGATTAAAAATGTCCCTTGCACCTGCGGGTGAGCAGTACGTGTTTGTTGATTTGATTCTCGGTTCTACTTTTCACCGAGTAAGTGGACTTGAGGAGTGTGTTAGCAAATGGTCTTCAGAAGATTGAAATTAGCATCCACAATCTCATCTCCTTCCACCATTATGTTGCAGAAAAATTGTTTATTTTCCTGGCAGAGGAGGGAATGGCCTTTCCTCAACTTGATGTTTCTCTAGTGTCTGATTTACTGGGTGAAAAATGTAGAGGACAAAAAAATAACATGCAATACAAAGTAGATACTTAGTTTAGAAAAGCAAACCAGAATAAACAGAGAGACTGTTAATGTCTCTGGTCTTGGCAAACGGCTTCTGAGAAGTTTTTTTTGTTTTTTTTTTTTAAAGGTTTTTTCCTTAGGGCGCCAGCGCTCACAGGGTGGGATGAGAGAGAGAGACAGAGAGACAGAGACAGTGAGAAGGAAAGTGAGAAATCACCCCCTAGGGTATGGCCACGCTGCAATCCCTTCTCCATTCTCCTCCTGGGATCTCGGGCACATATACACATGCACCTGGTGTGAGTTTCAAGCCACCAGGTTCGGGACTCGAACTGCGGTCAGCCATGTGGGAGTCCATCCAGTGATGTAACCACTACGCCATCTGCTAGTTCCCTGAAAAGCATTTGGAAGCAAAGCTCTCTCTCCACTCACTCCTGCCTGTTGCTGCCATTCAGAGCAATGCCACGAAATCATTTTAGGATAACAGAGGCCAGTGCATCTGCATTTAGGTGTCTCGATAACTTTAGTCCCTTCCTCAGCACGGAGCCTGACTTTTGCATGCGTAAGAGAGGGGCTGAAAGAGGGTGCCCCAGTGGCAGGATTCAGAGCGACACCCGCAGGCCTCACCATGGTGACAGCCTCCGACCGCTGCCATCTTGGAGCTGCACGTCATGCTTCTTTTCGCACAGCCACGACGCACCACGTACGGCCGTTTGTATGCCAACAACGTAAGACTATTTGTGCCGTTCCTTTGAACCTCAGCAGAGGCTCTTTAAAGACTCCAATACATGTAATCAAAGACTAAACAATCAAACACCGTAAATAATTCTGCTGAGAAACCAGAGAGGCCTTGGCAACTGCCGTCCTACGAGCTCGCCGCTCTCTCTCTCTCTCTCTCTCTCCTTTTTTGTTCTCCTTCCTGGCTTTGTCTCGGTTTCTCACATGTTTTCACTACTCTGCAACATTAATCCCCGAATATTTCCTCTAGCTTTCAAACACCCAAATCAAAATTTGGTGGCGCCAGGATCTTGACCCCATTTTAGTCCAAAATGAGAAAGACTGGTTAGGGAGGCTGAGACCCCCACACAGGGTTCTGATTCTCTCTTTGTCTCGGCAAGAGAAGAGACTTGCAGAAAAGCATGGTACTGACCTTAGTTCAGCCTGCAGTTCTAAAGAATTTTCCATAAAAGCTGTCATTAAGGAAACAGCTCCTGCCTCGCTCGTTTGGCATGCTGTTACCCTGGAAGGCTCGTTTCTGTCTCTTCTAAATGGGCCTTTTCCTCTCTGACAATTCAGTGGGGTGTCAGACGCTCAGCAGTTCCACAGTCTCTCTGTTCCTGCATATTTTCGGTTTTGCATCCTCCTTCGCCACTTTCATAAAGGTATGAGTGAGAAACATTAGCCAGAAAACCCAAAAGGGGAAAAGTGGATGATGACGTTTTGATGAACGACATTATTTAGGAATGTGGGCTCTACTGGAATGATCGTTGTACTTGATTTTTTTTTTTAAGGATTAGCCTTAGATACATTTCAAATATAGCTTTAAGACCCTCTACTGCCCTTCCTAATGAGAATCATGAAAATATTGGAGCATAAACAAAAACGTGGCCTCATGCTGGGTGATTTATTTGGTACCAGTAGGCAAGGGGGTGGGTTATACCATTGTATGCTATTGATTTAATTATCAGGAAAATTATTTGGTTGCCTGAAGCATGCACAGCGATTTAACAGAAGGCAGGAGCCCAGCGTGTTAAGGTGTTGTACACATTCCGTGGGGGCTGTATGTCCCCTCGACCTCCATTTAAAGGTGGGGCCCTAATCCACACCCACTGCCTTTGGCCTTCACTTTGGTGTGGAGTTCCCCAGTGTGGTGTAGACGTGTGATATCTTACCCGTTTGGTGAGCTGAGTGTCCATCATGAAGTTGTGAACATGCTTCTCTGCTTTGGTGAGTTCCAGCTTCCGGGCCACCACGGCCACCACCAGGGCAGTGCAGCCTGCGCCCTGTGGGGACATCGAGAGGACCAGGGAAGAGGGCACATGGGTAAGAGGGAAAGCGGAAGACAGTGCACCCCATGCCCATGCAGGAGTTTCCTGGGAGTGGCGGGGGACTTGAACTCACCAGCTAGTCAAGACCAAGCCACAAAACCTGTTCTAACCTGTTGGGGCCCTGACTTCTCCACCCATGAGGAGGTCTGTGGTACCTTGTGGCTTTGCTCCACTCAGTGGGGCTGGCCAGTCCTTAAGGGAGCAAGATGCTGGAGGGGGCTGAAGCATTGGGGGGTTTAAACAATGGGTAGTCACCACCAGGTCACCCGCCAGGCTGTACAGTGCCGGTGGGAGACAGAGTGCAGCATACCCTGGCCCTCTCTCCCTCATGCAAGTCCCGACCTCACTGCCAGCTCCAGACTACCAGGCCCAGAAGGAAGATGGCTATCACCAGCCGGAATATGGACAAAACACCTGTGGAGGGCGGAGAAGTTTCCTGAAAACAATCTAACAAAGAGGCAATACCTCTCCCCCAAGGGTGGTCTCAGAGGGACACTGATGGCTATGAACAGGTGCTCTCAAGGACTGTGCTTACTCCACGGCTGGGCCTTTTAACCTCAAGGTAGTTAACTATGACCTAGCACGAGGAACTGGTTCCTTCCTGCCATCCCCAGGAGGCTCCTAGATTCACCATCATGAAGAGACCTGAAAGAGGACGACACTTCTGCCTGACACTGTGACTCCAAGTGAACCTCACAAGATGCTCGGGGTTTTCCAAAACAACCTTCCTTGTTTGCTCAGCTAGGTCTAGTCCAGGGGAGCAAAGGGGAGGTGAGTAAAGAAGCAGGGTGTTGAGCTACTCTTGCCGAGACCTCACATTCTCCCTCCTAATCCGTTGGGTGCGTGCTGGGAACTGGATGGGAAAAGAGAAGAAGCACATTCCAGCATTTGCCTAGTGGGCCTTCAGAGCCTCTGCACTATGCTTTGCGGTTGGCCCGTAGGCATGGGGGGAAGAGAGAGGGTCACCATTCCCAGGCTTGGGGAGTCATCCTTGTCCTTGCCGAGAACAAGCTTTAGCCAGAAGCCTTGGCCCTTTTCCTGCACCCTGGGTAGCAGATCACCACAACTGCCATTTGTGGAAAGAGCTTATTGGAACCAACAGCCTCATCTTCTAGATGCCAAACAGGACTTCTAGCTGCCACCGAGCCCAGTCTAGCAGCTGGAGGTCCCAGGATCGAAGGGAGGCCGTTAGTAACATTTTTGGCTCATCGAGCTTTACAAAAGGGGTGAGAAAAAGAAAAGAATGTCTCTCCAAGCTTCTCTAATCTATATGAGAACTGGGAGAAACGTATTCGGGTAGATCAGGTCCCCGGTCTCACCTGTACAGTTTCTTTTTCTCATTTTTCCCCCCAGACTGACCAAGATTTGCCTATATGGGGATTTGGTGTGGCCGAAGTCAATCGCGCTTTGCTCAAGGGTTCCCATGAAAACAATCTAGTGTTTCTTGGCCCGATTGGTCAGATCCCCATTTCTAGCACAACAAAGTGACAAGAGCGGAGGCTGTGTGAACTTTCCTTTTCTGACCTCGTTTTCCTCTTTTGTTCGGGGACGGCTGTGTTTTCTTGGAATCTGTGACTTGCAGGAGACTCTGTGCCCAATTTTCAAAGGATGTGGGCAGCTGGACAGCCTGGTCTGTAGCTGTAATCAATCTAGCCAGGCCTCCAAAAGCAAAAAATAGCTTAAAAGAAGCTGTCCTAGAGGGAAGACCTGTGCGCCTTTTCCCCTCTACAGACCAAATATCATCCCTCTTCTTTATATGGAGTTCCAAAAGTACTTTGGGCTGAAAGCCCAAAAAGAGGGATCAATCATAGTGTAAAAATGGAACATCACATGGAGAAGTTCCATCCTCCTTTATCTTCCTGGGTCCGGAAAGTACTCTTCTGAAATCACCCCGAAGGCGGGGGGGTACAGTAAGTCTGAAGTCTCCCTGGTCGCCAAGCTACTTAGGGAATTTAATCCAAATAATCATCAGTCACCCGCCACCCAAAAATCTCCAGAGTCTAGATGGGGTGTTCTCCGGTTGCCATCACCCACAGTCTAGCCGGGTAGGTGCAGGAGGCTTCTAGTACCAAGCTAGAATGTTTGAGACAAGGAACCACCTGTCTTATGTCACTGAGATCAGTTTCCAGGTGGCGGCCAGAGCGTAGTCTAGGTGGCATTTCCCAGTTTCTTTCCATGTAAAGATGGCGAGACTTCCTTGTGGGTATTTATCTGGAGGGTGCTGTGTTCTTAACCCCCAGCTCCAACCTGAACAGACAGCGGTGGAGACTCTAGGTAATCCAAGGTCTGCATCTAATTAGGGGGGTCACCAATAATGAAGACCAACCTGGCCACTTCTATTAGGAGGCGAGGCTACAGAGGGGGTCAGACCTCAGCAACCTTCAGAGAGTGGTGGGCAGAGGGCTGAAACCCAGATTACAGGTCCTTTCCAGAACGGGGTGGGGGGGGAGAGGGAAGCGATAAGGAAAGGGAAAACAAAAGCAGGGAAGAGGAGAGGAGAGAAGACAAGAAGAGAGGGTAGGGAGTGATGGAGCTGGAGCAAAGGGCGACATGGGAACAAGTTCTATTGCATCGAAAGAGGAGACAAGAAAAAGAGGACGCTGAGGAATGAGAAAAACGATGCGCTGATGGGATGCAGAGAGAAAGGGAAAAAGAACAAGGAGCTTGAGGCTTGGATCCGAAGTTGGTGGTTGGTAAGGGCTCTTTAGAGGAAGCGAAGGAAATGCATGGGCTTTCCCCTCCTCCGCACGCCCCTGTCCGTCCGTCCGTCCGTAAGTGGTATAAATACCACCTGCGTTCCTTTCGGGTTGGGTCTTTTTGCTTAGATGAGCTAATCAGTCGGGCAGGGCCACGCTGGCAGCCAGGGAGCATTTGCAGGAGGCAGCAGCGATGCAGATGGGTCTGAAGAGACGAAACTCTTAATTGCCAAGGACCTGGCTAATTATGTGTGAGGACTCATGCTGCCCTGGTGTGGAATCTGAGAAATGGCTGGTGGGCAGAGAGGGCAAGTGAGGAGAGAACGGGGTGAGGCAGAAAGGGGAGCAGCTGCCGCTCTGACCTCCATGGGGTCAGGTTGGGAAGCAAGCGCACGAGGCAGCCTTTGCTGTCAGACGCGCCCAGGTCCCGAATTGCCGTGGACATCAACTGGGTGCCCCGGGTCTGCCTCTAGTTCCATGGGGCAGCACAAGGGGAGGGCGCATCTCTGATGAGGTTGAGCTTGCCGAGGCACTTGGGTGAGCAGGGAGCACAGAGCAATCGGAGGAAGGACAGCTGGGACGGGGTGGCCAGGCCTGACTCCCTGGAAGATCTGAACCCGAATCTGGACTCAGACCCTCCCACGACAGCCCTCCCACTTCTCGTTTCCAAGAATCATTTCCCAGCTGGAAAACCTTAGAAGCTGGAAAAACAAGTATCCCAAGGGGAAAAGTATGAGGTGTTCTTAACTAAAGAAGCATAAAATAAAATAAAATAAAACATAAATGAAAGTGACAAATGGAGGAGGGAAGCCTGGAGGATTTACAGTTGGATTCTGTTTCTGCAACAGATTCCGTGGAACAACGAAAATAACATCAATTGGTTTGAAACCAAGGTGTTTCGGGAGAAGCTCATCTTCTAAAACTGACAGTAAGCAGATGTCTTGCTGAGCCCTCCCTCTGCCTCCTCCCCAAATGACTCAATCTATGCTACCTTCACCTCATCATTCCTTCCCTTCCGCTGGTCAAAGAGGCAGCTCTCAGGAGGACACTGGGGGAGAGCTTCGTGTCTCAACAGACACCTCAAAGGTTTTTCTCTGTCTGGTCCATAACTCAGGGAGGTCCACAGAGCGAGCCCAGCTTCAGAAAGCAAAGTTACTACTGAGCAGACTCGGGGGCGGGGGGTGGGGGCAAGGATCTTCCTGACCCCTCCAGAACCAAAAGGCCAGAGAAGACACATCGTGATGTTCCAGCATCACTTCCCATTCTGGACACTGGATATCGATGGCCTTTTCTGCTGGGTCGTGGCTGAGACCATGAGAATTCCTTCTGGAAAGATGCTGGACCTGGCTCTCTCTGCTCTGGTGGGTGAAATCTCCCAAATGCACCAGTCTGTGCTAGTAAGTGTCAAGTCGTTCAGACAATTATACACCCTGCCTAATGGTTGATAATTACCCCGTTACTAGGATTGCCCACAGAAAACAATGATTAAGACTATTTACAGCCGGCACACACAAATCCTTCCTCTCCCTTCCCAGGCAGGCCTTGCCTTGGCCTTCACGGTGTCCATGGTAACCAAACAGGAAGCCCTACCTTTAGTCAAGGCACTTGCAATAATAATCGGGAGATATACATAGAGTAGGGAGCTTGGGAGGAGGGGGGGAAGGATTCTCAGCAACTGGAACCCTTGAAAGGAGTGACTCAGCTAGAAAAGTCACATTCGTTAGAAAAATGCCACCAGGCTTCCTCCCTGGGGCTGACCCCTGAGCGAGGCAACTGTCTTTAATTTGGGTAAAAACCGCTGACAATGAATAGAGGAAGCCTCCTCCTCCCGTAGAGAAAGGTGTATATTTATGCAGCAGGGTTTAGTGCACAAAGATGAAAGGCGTACGCTGTGTTTTTCACATGGAAGGCAAATAGCGGTTCCTCCTCCTCTGTCCTGTCCACTTTGATCACACCTGAGTCTACAAAGAACAAAATACTCCTTTCCCCAAAGCGCTGGAGGACAGGCGGCCACAGAGGTGCTGAAAGACCTGGCCGCCCGCTGGAGACCACACCCACGGAGAAGCGGGGCGGGGCTTGGGTCCTGCCTTGCCTTCCGCTGTGTCACGGTAGGAGCCAAGAGGTGTGGAGTCAAGGAGCCAGGGAATGGGGGCAGATGTGGAGCTGCTTCTGGGATGGGGCGGTACTCAGTGCTGAAGGAGAATGGCTGGTATTTAAATACCCAAGGCTTGGCTCAAGGCTCACAGCAGGCCGGTCCCCCTAGGGACAGCCCGGCTCAGAGCTGCCCCTGGCTGAGGGCAGCTTGGAGGCGCAAAGCCCATGCCCCAGGAACAGCTCTAAGAAGGACCGCTTTGGCCTTCAGGTGGCGTTTGGCTCCTTCCTGGCAGAAAGCATCTTTCCCTGGTTTCCTGGTGACAGCTGGCGCGGTGCCAGACTCCTACTAAACCCTGGGAGGTGTCTGTGCCTTGCCTTTGTCATTAACTGCTGCTTCAGGCCCTGCCTGTGGCCCCCACTGTGCGTGTGGGCCAGGCTTGGACTGGAGGAGAGCAGAGGAGAGGGCTGTGTCCCCACCCTCGGCTCCCAGCCCTCTGCTCAGGCCTCTGACCCCAGGGCCTTCTCTGCTCTGAGCAGTGAGAGCCCAGGAGCTGCAGGTTCAGTGAGTGTGTGTGTGTGGGGGGGGGACCGGGGCAGCCCCCGCCCCAGTGAGGGGCTCACTCGGACCCTGTAGGAAGCACTGCGGCCCTCCTCTCCATGCAGAAAGGAGTCATTTCTCTTCCAATTAGGGTCTTTCCTTCCTCAAGGGGCAAGGGGGGGTGATGAGTGAGACCAAGGGTGCCCAGCTGGGGAGGATTTTCACAGAAGCGTGATGGGTGATGGGGCATAGACAGGGTTGCCCTAGGGAGGGCCGCAGAGACCAACCAGGGGACCCAGAACAAAGCCACAGGCATCCCACCTACCCCGTCACCCCCACTGCCACCCCAACATTACTCAGGCTCAGACGTGTGCCTGCCTCTCTAAGCCTCAGTTTTCTCTCCTGAAAAGAGGGTCCCACACCATTCTGACACTTCTAGGATCGAGGATGGAGGTCACAGGAGGGGCCTGTCCTAGGCCCAGAGCACAGCAAGGCCAATAGGGCTGGGGACACTGAGGACCTGCAAGGACCACACCTGGCTGCTCACTTACAAGGCAGACTGCATTTCCTCTGGTCCTCACCACTAGCCAGGAGGAGGCCAGGGCGGCCTCCGTCCCCTCTCTACCTGGAGACACAGAGGTCGGCACACTTCCGACCCTCCCCCAGGCCCCTCGCATTCACCTAGTGAGGCCAGGGGAGCAGGAAGTGGGGAGAGACAGCCACCTGGAAAGACGCAGCACCCCTGCTGGGCCCCTGGGGCTGGAGTCCTTGGCTAGCCAGATGCCAGCGCCGGGGAGCACCTGGCACTCAGGCCTAGCACCCCCATGTGCAGGCACGGAAGCCAAAGCCTGGAAGAGTCAAGAGCTGGACCAAGGCCAAGTAGCCAAACCGGGACCCGAACCAGCAGCCTACTCCATCCAGGACACAGGCCCTGCAACGCAAGGCTGCCTCAGTGCCCTCTGCCCAACCACTACCTCCATGAATTCCAGCCACACTTGGTTGAAAGTGGTGCCAAGGCCTGGGACCCCATGGAATGGGAGCCTTGACGCTCACTGGTGGTGAGCTACCAAGGTGGGTGGGCGGGCGGCAGGGTCAGACCTGCAGCCAGCGTGGGCTTCACCTAGCCCAGTGTGGGCGGTGGGAGAGCTGTGAGGACAACAGTAAGGTCAGGAGCCTTAGAAAATTAAACCGGAAAGTGAGGACCCGCTGCAGATCCCTCGTCTGCCTTCTCCTGTGCGGATGGACTTGCACGCAGGGCTGGGGACTAGCAACCGCCCCACCCCCCAGCTGGGAGGGCCCCCTGTGCTACAGCAATCGAGGCTCTGCACTTGGCAACCTTTCGCGGGGAGGGTGACCGGCAGAGGCGGGTACTCACCATGATGCCAGTGAGGAGACAGACACCTTTCCCACAGTATGTGTGCGGCACCATGTCCCCATAACCAATGGAAAGGAATGTGATGGAGATGAGCCACATGGCACCCAGAAAGTTACTAGTTACGTCCTGCTGGTCATGGTACCTGCCAAGGGAAGACAGGAGTTAGTCGGTGGGACTGCCAGCTCCGGGGCGAAGGCTGTGCATAGACCTGGAGGGAGAAGGAAACCAGAGGTTTGGGTGAGGAGGAGACGGCAGCAAAGGTGGCGCACACACGTGTCTCCCTGCGATTGTGGGTGCTGCCGCCGTGCCCGCCCAGGTCCTGCCTGCAGCTTCTCCACCCCCCAGCTCGGTCCCGGGGGTAAAATGTTCTGTCACAATTGCTACTGTGTTTTAGACAGCTTGCTGGTGCTGGGAAGACAGCCCTGGATAGACCAGGCAGTAAGAAAATGCAAATGTCCCCTCGAAAGCCCAGTCTCAATGGCTATGGGTGTAATCCGTCTGAAATCACAAGCTCTTGAAGAGGGGAAATGTCAGAAAAAATCACTAAGTTCATTTAGCAATTTCCTCTAAGGAAGCTGATGGATCCTGAAGATTGGCAGCCCCTGGGTTTCTGGAGGGGGGCTGTGGAGACCGAGCTCTGTGGGAGCTGTCTCCAGGGGAGGCTCTGGGTGTCCCCAGTGGCACGGCCTCTCCTCTGAGCAGGACAGGGCTTGTGGCTGTCCTGCCCCAGGAGGGACCCTCTGGGAATATACCACCACCATTCCCTCTGCCCCGATGCACACCCCACCCCCTCCCTCCCTCCTTCCCTTCATCCCAAACATGAGCCTGCCGCCTGCCAGGCTCTGTGCCACGCACTGAAATACACCAACAGACACGACACGGTCCCTGCCCTCAGGCACTCTCAGCCCAGGATACAGGCAGCTGCAGAAGGTGAGCTAAGCGTGAGGACAGGCGCCCTGGGGACAGAGGGAGTGTGCGATGCCCTTGATCCAGACACAGAGAAGGCACCTACGATGGTCCGAACACGTCCCCAGCAAAACTCAGGTGCTCAGAATGCATGGCCAGGGTGATGCTATTAAGAGGTAATTAGTCCATGAGGGCTTCTCCCTCACAAATGGGATCAAGGCCTTACCAACCAGGCTTCACGCAGCATTGGGTCCGCTTGCCCTCTGCCCTCTGCCCTCTGCCCTCTGCCACAAGAGAATGTGGCATGCCTACGGAGGAAACAGGAGCAGCCTCGCCAGATAGCCACACCCACTTGCACCTTGATGTTGGCTTCCCAGCCTTCAGAACAGTGTGAGATAAAGTTCTGGTCTTTATAAATTACCCCGTCTGTGGCGGTCCGTCATAGTGACATGAAGCAGACTACGGAACGCCCCCACAGGGTTGGGCACCCACAGAGCACTGGGCAAATGCTGCTGGTCCCCTAGGCCCCGAGGTGAGGGGTGCAGGGAAGGCTGCAGGAGCAGGAGCAGCTGGAGAAAGGCCTGGAAGGAAGCAGAAGCTCAGCTAGTAAGAAAGGAGGCGTGGGTGTGTACGTCGGGAAACACCAACGGCACAAGGTAGTGGACGCCATTTACTGAGCACTTAGCGTGCGGTTGGCGCTCTGCATATAAACCCTCAGACTCTCACGGGTCCTTCAACGTGTTTCACAGGGAAGCAACCGGAAGCGCAGAGACATTGACTGACTTGCCCAAGGACACACAGGAAGTAAGTGACACGATGTCCATGCTCCTTTTGCTGCTCCGCCCACCATGCGAAGGCGGAAGTGACAGTATGTGTCTTGGGAATGGCGAAGAAGTTTTAGCGAGCGGAGGGCACCTGGGCTCCAGTCGCAGGGGAGGAGGTGACTATGGAGACCAGAGAGAAGATTTTGGAGGGCCTGAATTCCACGAAGTGACTCTGGGCTTGAGCAAAGGAATGACAGGCTGGCATGGCTTGCCAGGGAGAGCGGTCTGCAGGTGGTACGTGGGACATTGAGGAGACAGAACACAGGGCCGGGTGGCCAGGCAGGAAGCAGAGTGGGCACAGCAGGCTTTAGCGTCACCTGAACTTCGCCCTGGCAGGTCCAACGCGACCCTATCAGTGGGCTCTCCAGGGCCTGCCTGAGTCTTTGATTGGCAGTTAGAGGAGGTGACACTACCTCTCTCTAGTTTTCTGTGCATGGCAAGGATTCCTAGTACTTCAAGGGACATCTGCTGAGCAGACTTCCCGTCCCCGGAGCTCTGCTGGTGAGATGGCCGTGGCCACCCCTGCTCCCTGTGTCACCTGCTCTCCGGCATGCTACCCTGAAGGACCCTGGCTGGCTGCTTCTTCCAGTGGCCTCGTTTCGCTGGAGCTGGGCCTGTGTTTGTTCCTCTGGCTATGTAAGAGGACTTCAAAAGGTTTTTAAAAAATGGAATTAAAGTATGGATTTATTTTGTTATAAAAAAAAAAGCTTGAAATCCATGCATTAAAAAACTAATCTGCATTTTCCATGGACTTTTTAAAGACCCCTTGTATTTGACTAGGCAAGCTGATGTACCCACCTCTGATCCCCAGGGTGCAGTCTGTCCTGCCCCAGTGCCTTAGCCCCATCCCAAATTGGGGCAGCTGCCACCATCCCCTACCCCCAACCCTGGCCTGCCTGCCTGCCCTGCCAGGCCCTCCCCTCCCAGCACGATGCTCTCTGGCTGGAGGACTGGGGCAAACCCCAATGTCAGGCTCTGTGCCATGGAAGTGGTGGAACATCAAGGTGTCTTGCCCTCTGTGAGGTGGCAAGACACCCTGGCAGGGATTTAAGAGAAAGAAGGCTTAGGGGCAGCTCCACCCTCCAGGCCAGCAGCATCCAGGTAAAGGCAGCAGGGGCAGAGCTCGGGTCATCCGTTCACCAAGAAAGCGTTTCCCGGAAGAACGGGTCTTGGATGGTAGAGAATGATGAGGTGGAAGTTGGTTTGCAGTGAGGAGGTGAGACGGTGGTCTGGGGCTTGGCGCGCCTGGTTTGAGTCCCTACTCCACCACAAGTGGCTTCATGGCAGTGGGCAAGTGACTTAACGGCTCTGTGACTCCGTTTCCTCTTCTGCCGATGAGCACAGTGCCTGGCCCAGAGGAAGCCAGCGCTGTGTCAGCCATCACCGCTGAGAGGAGGCAGGTGTTACTGGTCTGAGAAACAACATTTAGAGGAATCAGGGCATAGGTTTACAGGTACAGGGGGAGAGGGTCCCAACAGGGGGAAGACGAGGTGCTCATGAAGATGTCTCCAAGTTTAGTCTGGAGAACTGTTTGATACTGGACAAAAGAAAGCCGTTGTAAGTTCTTGGGCAAAGAAGGGACATTAGACACTGACATGTGAGAATGATTCTTCTAGCAGCTACATGCAAGAAGGATTAAAGAGGCCAGACCCCAGATGGGGAGAACTGCTGGAGGGTGTGCAGGTGGCCCCGGAGAGGCAAGAGAGCCTTGAATGCCAAACCACAAGGTTAGGATTTAATATTGAGCCTGCCTTCCGGGTACGTAACTGGTTTTCCTGTGCACCTGGGTCTTCACACTCTCCTTTCCTCGCAAACCCCGAGACTTAAATTCACATCCATGGTTGCTTGGCTACCCTCAGGGCCATAGGCCAGCCTATTCATAGATGAGTGGGTGCCCAGGTACAGAGACTAGAGGTCCAAGTGGAATTCGGTATAAAGTAGCAGATAACCCACCCCTCTGTTTAAACCGATGCCTGATTTACTGCCTTTTTGTAAATTTCCTTTATGTTCATGTGGGTTCCTTTTCCATTCACCGTTTCAAATCCCATCGGTGCTGTGTGTGCTGAGGAGAGGGGAAGCAGATCTTAAGACAGTCGTTCATTCAGTGTTTGTCAGACTCCAGTGACTTTCCTCTGGGGTCGGGGGGGAGCTATAGGAGATGCTGAGACGCTGGGGCGTACACCTGCTCTCCAGTGGCATCGTCATGGAGATAAGACATGCATGCAACTCACCAGGCAGGAAGTGATGCTCGAGAAAGCCGGGCTGGTGATTCAGGACTGTGGGAGTAGAGAGGAGGGAAAAAGTGTTTCTAAACCTATTCACAATTTTAGAGTGGCTTACACATGTCACAAATCCACGTACTAATCTCGTGCTATTTTTCGCAATAGAGAATTGTTTGGGGGAAATAGTCCCAGGATTTTTTTTATTTTTTTTCCAAAGGCTGAGAAAGAAAAGAAGTAGTTTTTCCTCAACCTCAAGGGTGGTTTTTATGGTTATTCATGTATCCTTCAGGATGTGGACTGTATTTTTTTCTCTTTTAATATCGTAAAGTGAATGAGAGCTAGGAAAGACTACACGCATGAGGAGACAAAGATGGCGGGGTAAATACACAGGCTCACTTCTGCTCCTTCACATCTCTTACAAGTGAGAGTGTCCGTCCCCTCCTTTTAGAAATAAGCAACCAGGAAACCCTAGACATCTGAAGAAGGTCTCTGACAGTAAAGGCAGACCAAATCAGTCCGTTCAACAAACAAAGAAAAAGGATTCTGGATCAAATACAGATCATTCACAAAGAAGAACTCTTGGGGGGAAAATTCTATAATTAACATCAAGAGAGAGAAAATAGGATACTGGACCCTCGAGACAAGAATGGAATGCTACACACAAAAAGTCTCCCTAGAAGAGCTGGAAGATAAATGAAGAGAGTCTCCTCCAAAGCAGAAAAAGATAGAAGGTGAAAATAAAAAGAAAATAGAAAATTAGTGACTCGATTTACCAATTCAAATAATAGCAGTTTCAAAAAGAGAGAACTGGGGGAGGGGAAGGAGGAAGAGAAGAAGGAGAAAGAAGAAAAGGGAGAGAAGTAACCTATAATAAAATCACTTTTTAAAAATTTCTCAGAACTAGAGCCAGCAGGTGACTTGGTGGTTAAGGTGCTGGGTTCCCCCATGGTTGCCCATGGGAATGAGTGGTTTGAGTCCCGGATTCAGAAGCTTGAAAATCACACCAGGTGTCGGGAACCAACAGTTAGCGTAATGGCTATGTCGCTGGACTCCCACGTAGTCGACTGCGGTTCGCGTCTCGGACTCGATGGCTTAAAACTCACGCCGGGCGCGTGTGCGTGTGTGCCCAAGATCCTGAGAGAAGAATGGAGGAGAAGGGATTGCGGTGTGACCATCCCCCCTGGGGGGTGATTTCTCGCTTTCTGTCTCTATGTCTCTCTCTGGTGAGCGCGCACGCGCCCTGTAGTGAAAAATCTCTCTTAAAACAATCACACCAGGTGTGTGTGCATGTGTGCATGCCCGAAATCCCAAGAGGAGAATGGAGGAGAAGGAACTGCAGCACAACCATGGTCCCGGAGGTGATTTCTCATCTCCCCTCTCTCTATCGCTCTCCATCGAATGTATGTGCCTTCTGGCAAAAACCTAAAACAAAAACAACAACAACAACAACAATTTCTAGAACTAAAAGGGACAAGTTTCTAGATCAAGAACCAACTGTCCCCAGCACAGATGAAAAGAGACTCATGCCAGGGCACACTATTGTGAAATTTCAGAACACCAGAAGGAAGAAGATCCGGCAGTGCTTCCAGAGAGAGACAGACAGACACACAGAGAGAACAGGGCAAATACAAAGAATTAGAAATTAGAATGACTTTGATCTTTTTCACAGTAGCACTGGAAACTAGAAGGCCATGGAATAAAGCCTTAGAAATTCTGCAGGAAAGTTACTTCCAAATCAGAATTCCAAACCAGAGAGGCCAGGACTTGAAACCAGCCAAATATAAGTCTGGGGGTAGAATGGCAATATTTTCAGGTGCGCAAGACTCCCAAAGATTTATGTCCATGTGCTGTTCCTCGGAAAGCCTCCAGAGAGTGAGTTTCACCAAAGCAAAGGAGTAGGTCGAGGTGGAGGGAGAAGGGGACAGAGGCAACAAGATGCAGTGGAGGAGAAAGAAGGCTCAGGAGATAGCCCAGGGAGACCCAGGAAGAGCCATGGGAGTCAGGTGTGGAGGGTACCCAGTCCAGACTAGAGGCCGTGGGAGACATTTCCAAGACAAAATTACTAGAAAACTTAAAGGGCCTGAACATCTTGAGAGGAGATTTAGACAACTGCCAGAGTGTAGAGTTGAATTAGTAATAAACACATAGAAAACTAAGCGAGTGAACAAACATGGTAATTAACAGCTCCAGGAAAAAGACAAAGTTCTGCAGGAAAGGAAAAGTTATCATATTTTTCTACAAGGCTCAATTATGAATAGAGTCAAATTAGTGTGGACTGAGTACTGTAAACACTGATTACTGATTGAACCAACATTATGATGTAATTATACAAGGAGGATGGGGGGGGCAGGAGGAGTCGTTGGAGCTAAATCTTCCTCATTTACAGTGGGACGGGAATAGATACCAAGCGTTGACAAGTAGCCACACACGTGGTACTTAGAGGCGTGGAGATAATACTGAAATTAATCTGTGGGAGGAGGTAAGAGTAGCTGCCTCTAGAGAAAGCAGGATGAAAAGAGCTGGTGGAGGACAGACTGAATGACCCCAAGGTGTGAATACACGCACGACGTGGACAGCATCAGACATCAAGCCTAACGAAGAGGAGAAAATGAAACTATGAGATGCAATATGAATTTAGATAATGAAACAGAAAATGAAAATTAGCACCCAGCAATGCACTGTCCAACCCAACTTGTTCAATCTATTTGCGTGTTCTTGCCATTCTCGGTCCACCAACTCCCCAGAGAGGATTGTTATCCTGAATATCATGTGTGTCAAGTCCTCGCTTTTGTCCATGGTGCGTCCACATAGGTGTGGTTACCTAAGCCAGCCATAACTTCATTTTGCCTGTTTCTGAACTTGATAAAAACGAAATCGTACTGCAGGAGTGTGGAAGGCAGCTTCTCAGCTGGCCCCAGTACCCCTCTCCCCTGAGATACGCAGGCACTCTGTGCGCCCTGCTGTCTGAGCGTGGGCTGGACCACGTAATTTGCCTCTAACAGAGTATGGCAGAAGTAATGGGCCTTGCCTTCTGAAGTTAGGTTCTATCTAATAAGACACTAGCTTCCGTCTTGCGTGATCTGTCACTTGATCTTTTTCAGGTCACTCTCTCCCTGGGAGAAGCCACCCACCATGTCTTGAGGGAAACCTGTGGAGAGGCCCACACCTGGGCAGGGGCACCTCAGTCCCCGATAACCACACTAGTGAGGGCAGAAGCAGATCTCTTTAAACCGAGCCTTGAGACGAGGCCTCAGCCCTGGCTGGCAGACTAACTCATGAAAGACCTTGAGCGGGAAGTATCCACTTAGGCCACACCCAAATTCCTGAGCCCTTGCAATCCCTAGGCTGCTGCATTTGGGGGCCATACGTTACGGAGCAATATACAACTACTACAGAGAACTCCTCTACGAACTGCTTTTTACTCCACTGATCATATGCTGGGTTGACAGAAAAGTCATATTTTTTTCCTGTTTTTCTATGCAAAAATGCGTCATGACTTTTCCGACAGCCCATAGGTTGACGCATGTGGCTACAGTGCAGTTGCATTCATGTCGTATATTTTATCACATGAAATGCTATTATTTATTTGTTCATTCACCTATCGATGAGCATTTAGGTGGTATCAAGGTTTTTCCTCTAACAAGCAATATTGCTATTTTTTTTTTTTGCCATAGGGCACGTGCACTCACTAGAGTCAGAAAAAAGGAAAGTGAGAACTTACACCCCAGGGGAGATAGCCACACTGCAATCCCTTTTTCTCCTTTCTCCTCTTGGAATTTTGGACATGCACACACACATGCCCGGCATGATTTTCAAGCTACTGGGTCCAGGACTTGAACTGTGGTCAACCATGCAGGAGTTCAGTGCCTGAACTACCACGCCACCTACTGGCCCCACAAATGTTCTTTTAAAACATTATTTATTCAATTCTTCCATGAACAGAGAGAGAGAGAGACATCACCCCCAATAAGATGCTGATGCTGCAATCCCCTCTAGCCTCAGCCAGCCCCAGATCACGGCAGGCCTGTGTGTGCTTGGGGTACTCAGAGGCCTCCAGACACAAACCCAGAGCCTTCCCACGTGGGTCTGCCTCACAGAGCACTGCATTTCACCACTGCGCCGTCGCCCTACACCCTTAATCATTGCTCCTGCATTGTGTGTTTCTCTAACACATATCTAAGAGTGGGTTTGTCAATTTATAAGGTATGTATGTGGTTTTTTTTTTTTTTTTTGGGAGGGTGTCATGACTTTTCCGACAGCCCATAGGTTGACGCATGTGGCTACAGTGCAGTTGCATTCATGTCGTATATTTTATCACATGAAATGCTATTATTTATTTGTTCATTCACCTATCGATGAGCATTTAGGTGGTATCAAGGTTTTTCCTCTAACAAGCAATATTGCTATTTTTTTTTTTTGCCATAGGGCACGTGCACTCACTAGAGTCAGAAAAAAGGAAAGTGAGAACTTACACCCCAGGGGAGATAGCCACACTGCAATCCCTTTTTCTCCTTTCTCCTCTTGGAATTTTGGACATGCACACACACATGCCCGGCATGATTTTCAAGCTACTGGGTCCAGGACTTGAACTGTGGTCAACCATGCAGGAGTTCAGTGCCTGAACTACCACGCCACCTACTGGCCCCACAAATGTTCTTTTAAAACATTATTTATTCAATTCTTCCATGAACAGAGAGAGAGAGAGACATCACCCCCAATAAGATGCTGATGCTGCAATCCCCTCTAGCCTCAGCCAGCCCCAGATCACGGCAGGCCTGTGTGTGCTTGGGGTACTCAGAGGCCTCCAGACACAAACCCAGAGCCTTCCCACGTGGGTCTGCCTCACAGAGCACTGCATTTCACCACTGCGCCGTCGCCCTACACCCTTAATCATTGCTCCTGCATTGTGTGTTTCTCTAACACATATCTAAGAGTGGGTTTGTCAATTTATAAGGTATGTATGTGGTTTTTTTTTTTTTTTTTGGAGAGGTTTTTGCCATAGGGCTCGTGCGCTCACCAAAAAGACAGAGAGAGACAGAGAGACAGAAAGCAAG